ATATCTTGCCACACCATAATAGATTTTGGGTCACTCATCTGCTCTGTACGAGTATCATTAGGCGGTTTTGTGTAGAGAAGACTTTTTATGAAGGCGGAGGCACCATTTCATAGACGGGATTTGATCCAGGAATCACGCTGCTGATAACTACGCCTACTTTCTATCAAGAGAAACTTTCTAAAAAGCCACCGTAACGATATTCAGTCATCTTTTCCTCGAAAATGATGTGAAATCAAGGTAAATGTCGTAACTCAGTGGCCACGGCAATTTCATGCTGAAATTGGAGAACTCTCAGAGGGGATGAGGACGGGCGTGTGAGAGTGGAGAGATTTCTGAGCTTCCCTGACATCAGCCAGCTGTCACGTTCGTTGCTCTTTGGCCCAAACGCTAATCAACCACAAAAAATGCCGGCTGCGGCACGGCTAGACAGACAACTAAGTTTATCCTTGATTTAGCATGAGGAAGTTTCCTAGAATGTAAGAATGGCTCCCATTAATAACGGCTTTCCTTGTAAAATAAACAATGCATCTGATGAATTACACAAAGAGCCGCTCATAAATTATTTCAGAACATTTCCGAATGTGCAGAAATCGGCCCAAAAAATGCTATTGAAAAGTTTCTGCTATATTCGGTGCGTAGGCAGTTTATCAAGCGCTCGTTTGCCTCTGACAATGTCATTCCTCAGCGTGAAGTTACCGTTGCGGCTGTAGTCAAAACCAAGCTCTGGTTTACAATTGTTTGAAGCAAACCAGTGCTTATGAAGATGCTAGGCACCGAACGATAATAGACGTTTTTCAAGGGACTTCTTTCAGATAGGTTTTCGGGTTTTCAGTGAAAACTGTTCTGTATGGAATGCTTGGTGTTTCTGTGGAATCCACCATTTGAGTTTTGATGAAGCTTTGGGCTAGTGCAACACTGGTGGAATGGCAGCCTTTCCACTAAGCGATTCAGACCCGTTGAACATAAATATCATCTTTACTACTAGACTTTATAAACAACAAGGTCGCGAAGAATTGAAGTGCCTTAATTTGTCGAATCTTCTGGAGTGCGCTATGAATCTGTCTTCCACTCAGAAAAGATGAAATACTTGACTAGGTCTGGCAATCATACATTCTTGATGCCCTTCGAAAGGGATCTAGGGAAAAGGATTTGGAAAGTGCTGCAGAGTTTGAGATGCCTAAAAGTGGGGATTCGATCCATCGAACGCTGTATGTGGAGGTGGCGGCGCTCTTTGAATTGTAACTAAGCCGAGCGGAAATGCTTTCACTTCACATGGAATTATGAGTGGAACCGGGAATGGACATACCAGAGAATGAATGCTAGCTTACAAAAATTTCAGACCGAAAATGCTGCGCTAACATTTCCAAGCAAATCGTGGGCGGTCAGAGTTGACAGGAAGGGTAGCCTTAGCAAGAAAGCGAGCTAATCTTATCACATCGGCGCTTTTGATTTTCTTCTGGAAACAGTACTTATAAGGGTAAACGGATGGCCTGGTCACGAAATTAATTTTTCGGAACAGAGGGACTGCAGCCAGTATGATGCCGCAGCTCACTTTTTTACTGCATTTTTTGCCAACTTTGACCGCTCACAACTTGCCTAACAAGAGTCGCCAAGCAGTTAATCGTGTACTATACTGTGAATAGTTGTACTCTACCAATTTGCTTGGGTCTCCATCCAACAACATTTCATGGAGAAGTTGGAAGCATTTCCCTGGTAAGTGAAATCTTTGGAAAATGTTCGACTCTTGATTTAGCAACTGTCGTGATCATTACACAAACAGTATAACAATGCGGAAACGAAGTCCATTATTCAACCTCGAATGGATATAAATAGCTCGCGTTATGCACTCCAGTGCCCCTGCTGATTTCTGACGTAGTGGCTCGAGTTTCACGGGCGTTTAGAGCCGGCGACAATAGGATAGACCTCGGGGGATTTCATGAGGAAATGGCACATGGCCGAAACATTATGAGATAGCTCAAATATAATGGGCTAGTAACGTAATACAATAAAGTACAATATTTGAAAATAAGTATGATCGAATCTAAAAAAGTTAGATCGTTAAATAGGGGGGGAAGGACGCGGGGGGACTTCATGTAGCGACACTACCATAAGGGACCCGACATAATTGTGTTGGTTATGAATCGCCGCCACACACTACGTTTTCTTTCCTCAATTGGAGCTGCAACAACAAGCCTATTATGCTTCGGGATGCTTGTTATAATCGTATAGAAGCCAGAGAGATTCTCTTGAAATAGTTTCAAGGGCATCGAAAGGATGTCGCGGACAAAATAGGAAGATAATTGGAAGAAGCTGGTTTCACCATGGTTCATAAACAACACCCCTAGACTGGGTTCTATTCCTTAACCCTTTGACGACCGCTAACTCTAAACGTGTCTAGCGTGTGGGACCGCACGCCAGACACGCATGTGGCCCGCCGGCGGGCCATACGGTCCCAGGAGACCGCATTTTTGCTTAATTATAACAGCATTGACTAAACTGCAAACTTTCTACAGTAAATCATCTTACTAATCAACCATACATTCTAACGCAGACAGACTATCAGCGAAGTAATGAAGAAGACTAATGAAAAAGACCTCAGAATTCATAAGTGTTTTGATGGTACTGTTGAAGTAGCAGTCACTAAAAACAATCTGTTTTCTTGCACAAAACTTGCATTCAAAAAATCGACTAGATTTTAATACAAATGCTTCTTCCAGCTTCTTTCTTTAGCTAGCATGGTGTCGATAATAAGTAAACTTATTCACTAGACGGTTACTACCACACGCCACACGCTGAATTCCAATTTACTTCGATGGGAACCTTGGGTATGGTTAGGGTTTTTGAAGGCAGCCGCCTGCTGCACCTGGTAGACCTCCAACTTTTACTTACACCTTTATTTGTATTAAACCTACTTGACAATATTTTTCACAAGACCAAACAGTTGTCGTGCAGCCCGCAACTTAATAGATGTTCTAATGCAACTGGACCCCGATCATGTAAGGATATATTAGTTAGTGGGTAAATGGCACAAGGCTAAGCTCCGAGTTTTTCAAAAACTACTTGCGTGATTGCGTGTATTCTTGCATCATAATGTGCTTTTTTATTAACCTTAGATATTACCAAGAGCTGATACTTACCAATAGAAGTGTGTTTGTTACTATTGTCTTAGGGTTTCTCCTTAGAAGAATGCAATCAGTGGACCACTGTGTACATAGCGTTGTTAGGGCAATGTGTATATATTTAGTCATTGAGAATTTCAAAAATGTCAAAACGGAGGAAATACAAGAAATCGGTTGCCATGGCCCGCCGGCGGGCCATACGGTCGTCAAAGGGTTAAAGACACAGCTTCTCCGATCACACACTAACTCTTACAAAGAACATGTGACCCAACAATGCTCATCCCACCTTGCCCAGCCCTCTCGTCTTTACTTTTTTATATTTCTTTGCCATGTTTTTTGTTATTTTTTTCACATTTGTCGAGCGATTTATTCGTTTCATTTACAGAAGCAATCGTATGCTCTCCAGACTTCCAACGAACACCTATCTGTTATGTCTAGCCGCAATGAGCTCTTTATTCCTCTGCACGCTGTTTGTCTTCTGGCTAGAAGAGATGTCCTATCTTTATTTTGAGGTATGAATTTTTTGCAGGTGCATTTTTTCACCTGATTACTCATTATCTTTCTGCAGCTACACCTTTCCAGCTCTACTACTACAAAGACTTACTGAGCAAAGTAGAGTTGCAAAGTTATTGGGTCGTTTATGATTTAGCAAAAGAGCGGAGCGTTCCGAAGAATAACCACAAAACCCTACTTTTGGGCTGTAATGCCTGCTTCCTTGAACTATAATTTCTGCTGTTCTGCTCAGATTCCTGTTGTTACTGCCACCAGTAGGTAGTTTTGTCTTCTAGTAGCCGCTTCTTCCTCGTACTGTGTGTCCCTCACTTTGGATCACATATGGCTCACTCAAGGCCAGAAGGGCTTCTAGTGAAGGCACTCCAAGAACCAAGTGGAAGCATTTCCGTTGCCAGCATCTTTCTACCAAAGCAAATGCAATTCTTTTCTCTTCTTTCTTATCGTGGATGATGAGGCCTCATGCCAGTGTTTTATGGCAGAAATAGAATCATCATTTTTTCGTGAAGGATCCTTCAGCATTGCTGGCTGCAGCTTATTTATTTATTATTTATTTATTTGTTTATGCGCCCCGAATGACGCGCTCTCACATCAGCGGAGAAGCAAAACAAACAACTGAATTGCCTAGTAGGTAAAAAAAGCCAGTATTGTAGGAAGGAATTAGTTGAGAGATCGAAGAAGTAAAGGGACGATGAACATGATGCAGGTGGTACTATAAATTGATAGCTAGTTTGATATACCTCTGAGAACCTTTATTGAAGAACTTTTATCAAGCCTCCAAAGGTATTTATTACATACTCGTTCCAAGACATGGAGGTGAGGCTACTGATGCTCTCCCCTTCACTTGAAACAGCCGCAGTAAACCCATCGATATCTCGAGGTCATGTTGAGGATTGGGATTCTACAGAATTTACGATATTACGCACGAGATCGTCCGAATCAATTGTTTTGCTTAACTGTGTGTTTAGAGTGTCTTTGAGGACGTTAGAGACATTATCTTCTTATCTCAAAAATTCCATCAACTCCTCGCAACCCTTGACTGATATAATTTTGACCGATCCTTTCTCCCTCTCATGATCAATTTAAAAATATGTGGAAATTGAGAAAACCTGCCTTCTAGTGGAGGAAAACAAGAATCTCATCGTCACTGTGCTGAAAACACTTTGTGACAGGAACGCAGCCTGCTCTTGAACATAAAGTGCATGCTTGCTTGGAAGACGCAATATGTAGTCTTTGACTCCCCTTGCCAACCCTCTGTAAGATTCTGGTTCAACTGTCACCGACGTTGAAGTGCTGTTAACAATTGAGTTGGATCCCATGTGGTGAATTCAAAGTTTATTTTTATTTATTTTTCTTCTATTTATTTTTATCCATTCATTTATCAATCACATCACAAGGTGACAAAGCAGGCCGCTAATGCAGAAGGTGAAATCAAGAGTCTATAGTATGAAATAGATTCCGAGCGAAGGAAACATTTGGAAATGGAACCAAAGAGAAAAATGAATGAGCCTTTCAGGACTAGAGAGGAAAAGATGGAATTAAGAGTTCAGGACAGCTTGATCGGTCTTCAATTCCGAAATCTCAGCTGCAAGGTGAATCAGTTCTTCGCTCACGTTTGTGACTTCTCCAGCGTGTGGCTGATCGTTTTGGTTGGCTGTGAACGGCTTATGCTTCTTCATCAACACCGACGGAGTCTCACCACAGAAAAGTTGGTCCCTATTTGAATTCCCCATTCACTTCATTGTTATGTCCTCTCAGAGTACCAATAATCCTAGGCTGATTTTATTCATAGCCACTCTTTTTCAATCAGAAGATTCCTCAGCACGTTTGAAGTTCTAGCAACCCTTAACTTTTGTTTGAATGCTAGAGCTTGGGAGCGCCACTGGTGAGCTATGTTCGTTCTGAGGTCAGCGTATGGGCTCGTTGTAGCCTTTTCGCTGTGATCTTTTCGCTGATTTAACGCTTAGCGCCAGGAATTCTATCACCTACGATGCTTCAGTTTATATGTACAGTACAATACTGTTGCATATTCAAGCACCTTAAATCTCATCCGATGTTTTCATTCACTTGAATTTCTTCATTTTCGCCCTTCCTACTTTACTTATAGAAGGATAAATCTAAGCTGACTTGACGTATAGCTAGCTTGATGAGAATCTATCATAAGCAGCTATATCCGCGCGCAGTCCGGGTACACCTACAGGAGCCCGTCGTGTGGCGAGAAGGCGGAGGCGCAGGCGGGCTAATGGACGAGTCGCACGGCGTACTGTAGCGGTTTGACGTCAAGTTAGACAAAATGTACCGTAGTAAGTCTCACATCGGACCTTACGCATTATAACTCGTCCAGCGACCTGTCTGTGTTTTTGCTTTCTCGCCGCGCGACGGCCTCCCTGTCGGCTACCGGAGGCTGACATCCAAGTCAGGACAGCCGGAGCTGATATCGCTCCTAAAGCGATTCCCTATTACACAAAAATATGCACATTTACATAATTTTTCAAGGGCGTGCGCTCAGTATAAGATGTTGAGGGTGTTACTCGCTATGCTTCTTCATCGGTGGTTCTGTTTATGTGGCCTCAATTCAGCATGGAGTTTGTGACATCGACCCAGCTTTCGATAAGGTCTATCACGTGATGACCGTGCTTGAGGTGAGTCGAGAAAGTTTAACGTTTACGGTAGTTGGCTAATCAGGAACAAACGAACGATCAAGCAGCCCTGTGAAGGAGGATTTCGTTAGAATAGTTTGTTCGTATCTCTGCAAGATACGCATTTGTTACTAGCAAATTTCTCAGGCGCACGGTTTGTTGTTCAGCGCGATAGAAGAAGATAAGCACTGGGATTCTGCAAAACCCACTCCACTCATGCCGGAACTCGAGCCCTCCTATGAGCAACCAAATGTGTTCCAACTTTGAGGCGCTAATGGAAGCTCACAAACAGAAGAAAAATAGCCAAATGTGGAGGTTTAGGGGCTTTCTGGATGGTTACGCGACCCAATCGTAAAAGCGTGCTCCGAATAAGACTGGTGTGTTTTAATACTCGAATGTGAAAGTACTGGTGCAAAAATTAGCGGCAGCAATGGGGTAAACGAAAAGAAATCTGTCGAAAATTTTCGAAGTGATAGGGTTCGCTCCATTTTCATCTTTCATTCGAACACAGTGGGGCTGAGCGCGGGAGTATACTGTGAGGTGAGAGAGGCCAACCAGAAAGGGCGTCAAACAACACCCCACTGCGGACGGAAAAAACTGGAGCGCTTGAAGCTATCTTTGTGAGGCCCTTGTTAGACTATTCTCACACACGGGAGCGCCATACGGTCTTCTGGGACTCCAAAGAAATCGTTGCCTGCCTGGATTGCGCCTTTGAGAAAGATGTACTCCGCTCTATCGAGTTAAGCTACGTTTTCCGTTGTCCGTTATTATTCTTCTTCGTGTTTCATCTTCTACCGATCTTATGCAATAAACTATCAGTTAATTTCAAATGTAGTTTTCACCCAATGTTCAAGCACGTAGCTTAATCATTTTAAAATTTTCCCACCATTCGACCCGGCTAATGATTTGAATAATTCTTTGCAACTTATTGGAGGCTGAGGATCGTGAGACCGCTCGAGAACATTGGGTCTAACAGAACGGCTAGCTGATAAGTGCTTATGTCTGCTCTGCGAAGTAGCAGATGATGTCATCGCCGCTGTTATTGTCTGATGCTGCAGAACCCATGCCCTGTCTGCTTTCCAGGGCTCTCCGATAAATCATTTCCGCCGCCCGTTCACTGCTCATCAAGCAACACTATCGAATTGTCGGGACCGGCGTGTACTAAAAACAGGAAATAATCCAGATTGCCAGTTGTGTTAGGTTGTGATGAAAGTCCTTGCGGTTTTCGATGCCCCAATTTCAAAGAAAGGCATCTGATGAGCGTAAGCAAAAGAGAATACAACCGTTAAATTTCGATCTAACGATAAGGGCACATACAAAAGATAGGTCGGCCCCCTTCTTTATGTGCTCCTTCCTCCCAACCAGTAAACTGATTATTGTTGGCTTTTCATCACCTTTAATATTGCACTTATATTTGTGGTAAATGTGAATAAAAGGATAAAGCATTTGCCGTTGATCAATCCCTTTTTGGGATGCGGCACGCATTCTACTTCCATTTGTACATTCGTAGTGGCGTTTGAATGCGATGTGGCCTATACAATGACTTGCGGGGGCCAGCCGATGTACAAGTCAGTGTTTTTATCCTCCCAGACAAGTCTGGT